AAAAATCAAGGGTTAAAAGTCATCTGCTTTATGACCCTGGGCAAGTAATAGTCCTCAGATTTCTCATCTGTGAAGTAAGCAAATTAGTTATACCTACCTCATAAATTGAAATATCAGTGAAATTAAGCATATAAAGGGCTCAACTGGCTCAGCACCTGTAGCTCAAGGGCTAAAGCGCCAGCCACATACACCAGAGCTGGTAAGTTCAAATCTGGCCTGGGCTTGCCAAACAGTGACAACAACTACAACCAAAAAATAACTGGGCATTGTGGCAAACACCTATAGTCCCAGCTACTTGGGAGGCTGAGGCAAGAGAATCGCTTGAGCCCAGGAGTTGGGAGGTTGCTGTGAGCTGTTATGCCACAGCACTCTACCTAGGGTGATAGCTTGAGGCTCTGTCTCAAAATAAATAAATAAATAAATGGCTCAACTATACCTGGTGTACAAATCTGCTCCCAGGAAAATCAGCTTTGATGAGGGGGCCTGGGGCCATGTGGCTGCATAAAACAGCAGAGGTGTTTTTGAATTGGTTTTGTGTTGGGTGTCAGAAGCTGCTCTCTATGCCCTGTGTCCTTTCTGGAACTTTGCAAATATCAGGAATGGTTCTCTCGTGTGGCACTTCTTTGATTTGCTACCAAAGCAATGGAGACAGAAGTTTCAGGAAACTAAAAGACAGAGTGGCTCTCTTTTTCTCATCTAAAATGATCCAAAGCAGCTAGAGTAGGTCATCACAGATTGAGCTGCTGATTTGACGAAAAGATCAGGAGTTGACGTAAGGTGGGAGTTTATTCTTTCTTAGTTACTGCTCCAGCTGGTCAGACCAGCAGGGACGGCTTCGGGTCTCAACCTTGTGTCTCTCCTGTTCTCTTCTATTGATGCAGGTAAGTTCTGTTGTTCTTCATGGTCAGACCGAGTCCCTCATGTCCATGTTCCTATCTGCAAGAGGAGAAAATGTGAGCGTGAAGGGCAGGCAATTTTATTTTTAAGACAATGAGGTTGAATTCTGTTGCTTTCTATCCTGTTGGCCAAAACTGAGTCATACATCTATACCCAGCTGCAAAGGAAGCTGAGGGTTGCAGTCTTCAACTAAGTGGCCATATGCCCGTCAAAACCCTGTCTCACAGTGGGGGTCTAATTACTAAAAGGAAGAAGGGGAAATGGATAATGGACCACAGTTGGCAGTCCTTGCCAAGGCAATGTTTAGTGAGTCATTACCTATACTTTTTCCAGGTCTCTGTGGAAGGTTGGCCTCTCCCAATGGGAACAGCTTGGGACTCTGAGGGCTGGTGTGGCCTAATTGGTCATGGACGTGGACACATAGGACTGTGCTACCTAACCACAGCCAAACTCTTTGGGCACAAAGAATGACTGCTTCAAAGGGAAAAAGAGTAATAGACTAGATAAATGAAAGCAGTCACAATTATTTTTTAATTGAACTAACTTCCCTTCCAAATGAATTTTACTTTTTCATTATGGAAAATTTCAAACATAGGCTGAAGTAGAAAAGATTGTATATGAACCCCTATCTCCATTATCTGCTTCAGTGGCATCAATTCATGGCTAATTTTGTTTCTGTTTTCCCCCTACAAATCTTAGACATTGTATCTGTGAACATTTTGGTATTTGTTTATAAAAAAAAAAAAAACAGACTCTAAAAAACTACTTTTTCATTACACATAAAAAATTAGTAGTTGGAAGCTGTGGCTAATCCTAACCCTCTGGGAGGCCAAGGCAGGTAGATCGCCTGAGCTCAGGAGTTCAAAACCAGCCTGGGTAAGAGCAAGACACCGTCTCTATTAAAAATAAAAATAAAAAATAGCTGGGCATTGTGGCAGACACCTATAGTCCTGGCTACTTGGGAGACTGAGGCAGGAGGATTGCTTAAACCCAGGAGACAGAGGTTGCTGTGAGCAATGACACTATAGCACTCTATCCAGGGCAACAGAGTGAGATACTATCACAAAGAAAAAGAAAAATTAACAATGATTTCTATTGCTACCTGTTAAGTGGGTTGTAAAATCAATTTCTGGATCTCGATTATTTTATTTTATTTTATTTTATTTATTTATTTTTCAGACAGAGCCTCAAGCTGTCGCCCTGGGTAGAGTGCCATTGCGTCACAGCTCACAGCAACCTCCAACTCCTGGGCTTAAGCGATTCTCTTGCCTCCGCCTCCCAAGTAGCTGGGACTA